TGTGTGTGTGTGTGTGTGTGTGTGTGTGTGTGTGTGTGTGTGTGTGTGTGTGTGTGTGTAAATCTCTTATAACTTTTGAACGGCTCGACTAATCGGATCGAAATAGGTGGCGATCTAAAGAGTATTATCCTTTAAATTAAAATACATGAAAGTCTTGAAGTTAGTCAAAGGTCGAAACTCGCAAAAAAACGGGCCACGATTCCTTATTGGTCGAAAATAAGGTGCGCGCGTAGCGCGCTATTTAAATTTCTCGTTGCCATTAAATTTCGTGAAAATTTGAATGGATTCGGTTCGCTAGATTTTGAGAAATCTTGAAAATAAAATAAAAAAAAATGGTTTCTTTGGGAATAACCTCTAAACGGCTCTACCGATCAATCTCAAAAACTAATCCGCTTTTAAACTTGAAAAACCACCTTGATTGCTACCAGTCCCGTCAAAATCGGTTGATCCGTTCAAGAGTTATCGAAAACGAAAAATTTCGAAAAAAGTGTTTTTTTTTTTTTACAGAATTTCGACATTTCTTTTTGGATCGTTTTTGATGAAACAAAATAATTATTAGAGCCCAAAAAACCACGTCGATCGCCGCCAAGAACGTGGAAATCGGTTGATTGGTTCATGAGTTATCGCTGTCGAAAAAAGTGAATTTTTCAAATTTCTCTAAAATTTTCGGTTTGATCAGTTTGTGTCTAAAATTATATCATAGAATTCAAAAAATTGCGTGGTATGCTGCCAACCGCATGAAAATTGGTTTATTCATTCACAAGTTTTTGCGGCTTGAAAATTCAAAAAATACTGTGTTATTGAACTTCTATCCAACTATCAGGCTCGAAGAGCTCAAAAGCTTAGAACAGAAAATTCTCTGAGCCCGGAAAGCTTGGAATACCACATAAATTGTAATTTTGAGCTCGGTGAGCTCAAAAACGTCATAAATGCAATTTTAAGCGCTTAGGTATAAAAAATTAGCGGAAAGTTGCATTGATGGTCTTCAGGGTCAACCGTTTTCCTAATTTTTTTTTTATACTAACGAAAAGAAGAATTTAGCATATAAAAATTATTTTTCAAAGAACCAAAATCAGGATATAGTAGACCAAATAATTTATGTTTTTCTTTTTATTTATTCCAATTTACGATGACGTTTGCACGTGTGAATTTGTTTTGTAAATTTGTGTGATTTTGTTAGCTATAGTAACTAGTTAGTCATGCCGTTTGTTGTGTCTTCATTTGGCACGCACTTTACTGGACACTGGCGCTCTCTTCCTAACATATAGAGGAACGTTATTTTAATTAATAATTAACTATTTATACATCTGATTAAAAAATGGCTAAGGACTTTTGGTCTCAGAATTTTTTGTTTTATCAGATACTATAGTGGCGCCCGTTACTTCTGGGACACCCTGTATAATAGATATAACTTATTTAAATGATCTAACATACCTTCCAATGACCTTGAAGACAACTTCTAAGCCAAACAGGTTATGGTTTGTAGTGTATTATTTCTTTCATCACAGACTATGCATATGCTAATGATTAACTAAGACTAAATTTTTGTGAAATGATTATGAGTCGAAAACAAACAACTGTTCAACTTATCACATATGGAATGTATACCTACACTCTGTATATATTCTAGTATATACAGCCGATGACATGTACAATCAATATAGAGAATCGAGCTCCACCCTCCGTAACAATCACAGGCATTAATTCGGGTATGTTTCTATATTCAGAGTTTTTACGACTCTTCTAAATTTGGCCGTTTCTAAACTCTACATTTGGAAAACCGTAAATCACGATATTTGTAAAATTATCTAAATTTAAAAAAGACCATTCGGCAGCCGAAATGGAAGTAAACTATAAATCTATAGATTTCATCATGAATAGAAAAAAAATATAACGAGGATTGTATACAAAACTAGGGTTTCTAACTTCTATGTAATCGACAAAAATATATATCGACAGAAAAATTTTAAAACCAGTGCAATAGCAAATTTCATAATTGGCATAGCGGAATAGGACATAATTTTAAGACTACACATATGATATAGTACTCAAATTGAAGCTTATTTAATGAGATTTCAGATGCAATTTACAGAGATTCAATAAGTTATCCCATTCCAAAATTATTCGGGTTAAAAAGTGAAAAAATGTGAATTTTTATAATTTTGAAAATTTTTAAATCCTGGCACTTCTAAAAAATTTTACGACTACACATATGATATGGTACTCAAATTGAAGCTTATTTAAAGAGCTTTCAAATGGATTTTACAGAATTTCAATAGGTTATCCCATTCAAAAGTTATTCAAGTAAGAAAGTGAAGAAATATGAATTTTTATGATTTTCATAATTTTGAAATCCTGGTATTTCTAAATTACTTGACCTAGTTAGGCCATACAGTTAGTTGTGTCTTTGTTTGGCACATACTTTACTGGACACTAACGCTCTCTCTCTCTAACACATAAAAAGACGTTATTTTAATTAATTATTAATTATCTATGCGTCTAATTAAAAAATGGCTAAGGACTGTTCGTCTCAGAATTATTTTGTTCATCAGATGCTACAATGGCGTCCTTTACTTCTGAGACACCCTGTATATATATATACTTTTGAACCATATGCATTTTCCGACTCAGCTCGACGAGTATAGTCGAAATATAGCAATAGTATATTACACTACAAGGGCAGAAAGTTTGAGATTCCTGCACTGCGCGCCATATGCCCGAGGCGAAGCCGAGGGCATCATGGCACGCAGTTCAGGGCTCTCAAATTTCTGCCCATGTAGTGTATACTAGTTTTCTTACTATGCGGTCGAAAGTACGTTAAAAATTGCGTTGAAAAAAATTGATGCCTGCCCCCGACATTTGCGGCACGAGCGAAGCGAGTGCTGCTGGGTCGGGGGGGGGGGAGGGGGCAGGGCATTAAATACACCTGTCAATAAAGATTTTAATATATAATTTATCGTATTACTACTTTCTTTTGAGAAAAGATCGTAATTTAACGTCATAAATGTATCATAAATTAACTCTGATTTTAAGAATAAAATAAAAACAGAAAAATTAAATAATAATCGTAAAATGCATATCTAGAAAAAAAAATTAAGAAAAAAATCTGTTTGTATATTTTTTCATATAATTATTTGTTCACCAATGGATTTATTTATTTGAGAATATCGATCAGAATAAAGAATATTTCTCGTTTTTTTTTTTTTTTGTAATTTAAATTTTTAACAAGTCTTATTTCATTAAAATAAAATGATAAAGTTAGTAGTCACTTAATCATTTCTTAATTTTTTTTATCAAATAAATTTAAAAAAAAAATGGTTTTTAAAAAATTGCTTTTTTAATTTTTTAAAATTTCTACATTTCAATTTTTTTTCTAATTTTTTTTTTGCACTAATTTATTTTTTTTTAATTCTAAAATTTATTAAATATCTGCTATTTTAATTTTCATTAAAATAAATATTTATTTTCTGTAATTAACTCAGTTTCAACCTCAAATCATTGACACCTAACAAGACAGATACATTCATAACAATCACAAGTAAGGTTAGGCTTGTAAACATAAGTAATAGAGTGAGCGCGACTACCGACTTTCGGACTTTCTGCCGCCTCGTGTCTCGTTGTCAGTGCATGAATACATTTTTTCGGCTCCCCGTCGTAAAGCGCATGCGCGACTCGACCACGGCATAAATGTCAGGCTTTCTGCAGTGAAATCGCAACAGAAACCCCGTACTTTCGACCAGCGTAGTAAGAAAAATTTTTTAAAAGTTCCGTCATGAGGACCAATGCAATAGTTAGATTTCTATGAAATCTACTAAAAATATAGGTTCCGGATAAGTAATCACCACCATATCATATACTAAAACCTTCTCTGAAACTTTACAAAACAATACTGATATTGACAGTTTTAATAAGTATTTAAAACCGGTTGTTGATGAAATAAAAATATTAGAAACAACTGGAATTGAAATTGGAGGTCAGATTTTTAAAGGCTCACTAGCAGCTATGAGTTTTGATAATTTAGGAGCAAATACAATATATGGCATGGTACAACCTTTTTCTGCGACTAATTTTTGTAGATTTTGCTTTGCAACCAAAACTCAAACAAAAACAATGATATGCGAAGATCTGTCCTTAATTAGAACCTCGAGAAACTGTATAATTAATAAAGATTATAATAGCGAGGCAGTTTTACTATCTGGAGTAGAATATGAATGCCAATTGAATGAATTAAAATATTTCAATATCTTTGATTGTCCAAGTGTAGATTTAATGCATGATATTCTCGAAGGAGTAGCTCCACAAGATGTCAAGTTATTTCAAGTTATAAGTGGCTTGTGGAAAATACTCGAATAACTATTAAAACAATTAATGATAGATCAATAGCTTTTAATTATGGTAAAAATGAGATGACTAATAAACCTAGTCCAATGAATTTAGATAAACCCGGATATTTATTAGGAGAACGAGCTTCTCAAATGTGGTATCTGGTTAGATATTTGCCATTTTTAATAAGTGATTATATTGAAGAAGAATTAGTGCAATCAAAATGGGCATTAATTAAAGAATTACTTCAAATTATGCATATTGTTTTCTCGCCAGTAATTAGTCATGGTATGAAATCTGAATTAGACTTATCAATTCAAGAACATCATTTGATACTACTCAACGAATATGAAGTTGATTTAATTCCTAAAGATCATAATCTTATACATTATGTGTCCTACATAGGACATATAACCATAGGAAAAATTGGTTCTTTGTTACCATTATAGAGTATGCGCTTTGAAGCCAAGCATATGTACTTTAAAGACCTTACTCAAAAATATAAAAATTTTAAAAATATAACTAAGACTCTAGCAGAACAACATCAACGCTTCATGTATCATGAATGGTAATATTGCAATAATGACTTAAAAGTTGAGTTAAAATCTAGTAAAGGCCAATTCGTGACATACAAAGAAGTTTATGAGGATTACTTACTTCATGCATCAAAACTAAAAATAAATATGGACTCCAATGTATATATAGTTGATGAATTAATATATATACATAAATATCGAGTTGGTGCGTTCATAACTTCTGGTTACGATGATCAAGATTACCCTATTTTATTTAATATTATAAAATTATTTATACTAGAAAATTATCCTTATTGCATTTGTAAGCAGTGGTTTACAATTGCTTATAACGATAATTTTCATGCTTATGAAGTTCAAAACTTGAACTCTGTTTGTTTAGTAAAGAAAATAGATTCATTAAGTCATAAACTATCGTATGATGTGCACCAACCTTACCATGAAAGTAAATTTTATATTGTTCCTAAATATCAAATATTGCCATAAAAATGTTATTTTTATTATTATTATTATTATTATTATTATTATTATTATAATTATAATTATTATTATTATTACTGTTGTTGTTATTATTTGTTGATTTATAATAAATCATTTATAGTAAATTAATTTTGAGATTTATTTTGTAAAATGAAAATTCATCCTTATTTTATTTATTTTAAAAACTCCGAACGTGGATATTTTTCGGAGTGAAATACGAAATCAAACTCCGAGTGATGGGAGTGAAATGGGAGTGAAATTTACTCCCAAATCACTCCGGACTTTTTACAGTGTATTGGTTTTACCCATTTTTTCGAAAATCGAGTTCTCATTATATCTCGACGTTTTAAGGTCCTAGGAAGCTTCCCCGAACGTTTCCGCGGTGATGTCCGTATGTCTGTATGTGTGTGTGTGTGTATGTGTGTTTTTTTTTTTTTTTTTTTTTTTTAGAGGAGGTAAAATACATTTACGTATGCCAGGACTTGATGTTGTTGCCAGGACTAAGTGTTGGTGCCTGGGTATGTCGGACTCAGAAGTCAATATTATTTTGCAACAATATCGACTAAACATCCTCCTCTCTCATTTCCCCATAGATGTTACAAGGAAGACTGGAACGGGACCGCGTTAGCATTACTTCAATCCAGTCCATGTTGTGTCTCATGACACCTACTTCTTGTTACTACTGGTTTCTAATCCCTTTCTGCGATTTTTTCTTTTAAAAGGCGCTGCACGTAGGCTGCAACAGCTGACCAGTTTTCTTCTTTTTTGATCATACATGTTACCAAGCTCTCAGGGGAGAGCGTGGTGCCTATTGTTTCTTCGGTGCTGATTCTGTCTTCCTTCCACCGATCACACTCGAAAAACGTGTGCTTGGCGTTGTCAATTTTGTCTGGGCAGTATTTGCACGTTGGTATGCTGTGCAAACCCATCTTGAAAAGATAGGCATTGAACTACCCATGTCCCATCAATAGCTGGGTCAGGAAGAAGTCCGTATCCCCGTGCTTCCGAGAAAGCCAGACGTTGATGTTTGGGATCAGGCGCGCCGTCCATCTGCCCGTCTCTCCCGATGTCCATTGGTCCTACCACTCTTGCTGCGTTTCCGCCTTTATCCTCGTTCTTGCGTCCTTCATGTTTTCCTCACTATCTTTAGCGTCATAGAGTTTTGCTCTTTCGAACGCTAATAGGTCGATGGGCGCGGCTCCCGCAATGACCAATACAGCCGCTTTGGAAACTGTGCGGTAGGCGCAGGCAACTCTGAGAGTGCCTCACCGTACTGCTGCTATCTTTCGCCGGTAGGTCTTCTGCTTTAATATGTCTGCCCATATCTCCGCTTCATAAAGCAGTACCGAGTGGACTGCTTCTAGAAGAACTCTTCTCTTTTTTGTTCTTGGTCCCATGGTATTGGTCATAATTCGTGGTAGGCTAGACACCGTCTTGCTGGCTTTCTTGCATGCACTGTCGAGGTGTTCGCAGAAAGATAGTTTCTCGTCTATCATTACTCCTAGATAGCGCAGGGCTCTTGTTGACGTCAGTGTTGTTCCTCCCATGTCCACAGCGAATGGTTTTGGGAACCATTTTTGACGTGTCAAAACGACCATCTCTGTTTTGTGTTTGGCGAGTTTCAGGTGATGCTATCAAGCCAAGTCTCGACTGTGTCGATGGTTTCCCGAACTAGCAGTTCAGCCTCTTTCACGCTGTCCACCACTATAGTGGCCGCAACGTCGTCTGCAAAGCCTGTTAGCTCTACTTGATTTGGCAGCGGGATTTCAAAAAGCTCGTCGTAGTCTGCGTTCCATAGATCGGGCCCCATTATTGAGCCTTGCGGCACGCCTGCCGAAATGGCGTATTCTTGTGGGCCTTCAGTAGTTTCCACGGTTAGCTTTCTATCGTCAAGGTAGTTGTCGACTAGTGCCAGATTCTCTGGCTCCGCGTCAAACTTGTGCTCCAGAGTGTCTAAAATGTCTCCCCAGTTTGCGCTGTTAAATGCGTTTTTGATATCTAGCGTGAGGAGAAGACATACTTTACGAGCTTTGAGGCTACCAGACCATGCTTGTGTTGCTGTTTTTATGACTTTCTTGATTGCTCCGACTGTCGAATGACCTTTCCGGAAGCCATGCTGGTTGGTGGCAAAACCTCCAGCACGGTCTATGTCGTTGCGAAGTCTCCCTTGTATGAGCTTCTCGAGTAGTTTTCCAGCAATGTCTAGCATACAGAGTGGTCTAAACGACGAAGGTGTTATGCGGGTTCCCTTAGCTTTGTCTAAGAGAACCAATCTCTGCCGTTTCTAGACCGCAGGAAACGTGCCGGTTGCCAAGCATGCATTGTAGGTGTTCAGGAGTATGTCTGGGTATTCCAGGGCTACAATCTTGATCACCGATGCCGGGATGGCATCAGGTCCAGATGCCTTTCCTGTTTTGAGTGACGGCCGCGTCTTGTAGTTCCTTAGTTGTGAAGGATGTTACTTCGTTGTTTTTAGTGTAGTGTTTCTTCTCCCGCGGTGGGTGTTTGGGGAAAAGCTCCGCTACAATGCTGTCCATTAAGGTTGGAGACTTCGGCGCCTCTGGTGAAGCCTTTCCAAGTCGTTTGGCGATAATTTGGTAGGCTTTACCCCAGATGTCATTATCGAGATCGTTGCAGATATCTTTCCACAACTTCGCTTTACTTGCTTTGATGGCTCGGTTTAGCGTCTTTTTGGCCTGCGTGTACTCTTAATATAAGTCTTGGTTTGGGGAGCGTTTCGAGGCTCTCGTTGCGCGGCGACGTAGTTGATGGCATATTTTGCGAAGTTCTGCTATGTCTGTTGACTATCAGTACGCCGGCCTGTGGAAACTCCGGTTTTTCAAACGCGGCATAGAGGCGTCACATGCGGCAGCAATCTCCTTCATCGTATTTAGCACTGCCCTTTCTGTCTCGCTGCAAGTATCCGGAGTCGGGTTGTTCTGAAGGATAGACCAGCTCCGTGCAAGTGAAGCTCGCAGCGCTTCTGGATCAAGCTTCCTGACATTCCACTTTCGCTTAGAAAGGTCGTGTTGTGATATCGGAGCAGATGCCAATCCAACGTTGAATGTCACGAACTGGTGATCACTGCCACTGTATTCTTCGGATACAGTCCAGTCTTCGATCATGTTGACAGTTCTTGGAGTCGCCAACGAAATGTCGAGGATGGATTCTTGGTACCCCGGTCTTCTGAAAGTCGTGGTGCTCCCGGTATTCAGCACTATGAGGTCCAGTCTAGCCGCGACGTCAGCGACCTCGTTGCCTCTGATGTCGGAGAAAGCAGCGCCCCATTCAGCCGATTTAGCATTGAAGTCACCAGCTACGATGACTTCACCGTCGAACTTAGTGATCATATCCTCTATATTTGCCAGTTTCTGTCAAAACACACTAAGGGGCTATTCATAAATTACGTAAGCATAATTTGGAGCATTTTACAACCCTCCTCCCCCTATGATAAGCATAAGTAAGATTTTGAACTGATACACCCACCCTCCCTCTGAAATCTTACGTAAGATATACATCAATTTTGGGCTTTAAATAAGTTAAAAAATATTTTTAATTTTTAACAAATGCCATTGAAACGTAGTAGATTTAATGGGAAAGCTATGGAATGCGTCACTTCTTATTTAGAGAATTTATCAATTAATAAATTAAATCTAAGATTTTAACCATTCAGTGTACGTTTTAAAATGTGAGTTTTGCCTGGCTCCAGAGACTCGGTTACTTATAAAATAGAAGAATAAATACCTCGAACTGGCCGTACAAACTAATAAAACCAACACCAATACTTATGTATAGCTTAATTAGGACTTCGAGTAGGTGTTGCTTCTCCTGGTGAATTGAAACACGTAGCCTCTGGTACATGTTCTGGTGAATCCACCTCAAACCACGTACTAGGAGTGGGACGTAATGGCAAGATGCAAATAACTGATTGACTTATTCGTTGGATAATTTATTTATTAACTATTAAATATAGTATATTACATACCTAGGCCAGTAAAATAAGAAAAGTCTCAGATCACATGTAATTGTTGGCCGAGGCGAAGCCGAGGTGGACAAACATGTGATCTGAGGCTTTCTTATTTACTGGCCAAGGTATGTATACTATTTTTCTGCTCGACGTAGCCGGAATGTGGCAACTTTGTTTAGCGCAGCGGCCAGAAAGTTGCCACGTTCCGGCCGGAGGGCAGAAAAATTATTTTAACCACTGATGCCTAACTTGGTAACATTCACACACGAACTGGAGCTAATTAGTAATATTAGGTGCTTCGAATATTACTAATAATATATCAAACTGTTCTGACTGAACAGGCAAAGTGAATCAAACTATTTATTACAAAATAGGCAAAAACGGATTAATTAAACTTGACGGATCAGGTTGAATTTTTTAAATTATAATTTACCACCAACTGGTAATTACCACCAACTAGGTAAGATTCAACCTTACAACCCCCAAATGGATTATTTAAACTATTCCAACTGAATAAGATTCAATTAGTTTAATTTTTATTATGTGCATCAACTAGCACTTTTTAACAAAAATAAAAGATTCTGACACTCATGTCAGCTTCGCTGTTTCTGCCTTGTTTTATGCAACGTGGCCAGTTGGCTCACATTAGCTAAACACCAATTTACCACCTGATGCTAATATCGTTGGCAGATAACATGTAAAAATACGATTAGAAATTAGGCGATAATCGCAAATAGTACAAAAATCATTTGAGAGTGGCGCTAGAACGTCTCTCCACTACTCAATGTTAATTAATGTACGCGGAAGCCGCGTGCAACCAGTCTTTGTTCAACCCCCAATATGTATACTTCTGTAATTGATATATTTCTTAATATATAAGTAATTATTTTTACCGTGTTACAACGTAATGTTCGGTATTT